GACTTAAAAGTACATGCCTTATGTGTCATATACAGGACAGGAAAACAACAAGTGAACCTCATTCTCAGCTTCATCTTAATTACACAACAAATTCTGTCCTCCTCTGGGGCGGCGTTAAACCTTCCAGTCTCTAAGGCTAATAGTAATGTTCCCGAGCACAACTATGCACACAGAGATCTTTGTCTTTTGTTAAGATTATACTTGAGTTTGTACACAATGTGTCAACAGACAGTTTTTCTCTAAACATGCAAAACATTTCTCTCCTAATCTCCTGAATTTCACAGCTTAACCTGTTCTGGAAAATAAACAAGTTGTTCAAATAAAATAATAATTTTAACTCCTTAATTTAATTTAATTAATTTTATTGAGTCTCTGATCTGACATCTTTACAAGTCTTTTCCAAAGCTGAAACATCCACTAATGGCCAAAACTGAAGTAAATTCATGGACACCAAGGCAAGATCAAATCACTCTATAATGCACCGTATTACAACTTGTATGTTCTTGGAAACAGCAACACCTGAGGCAAAGTCAGACACAGGACACACACATGAATTATAGAGTTGTGTATAAGTATGAAATCCTAGATTGCCACATTGTTTAATTTTGTTCAGTACAGATCCCAGTGCTCCAGGGGAGTGCGAGGCACAACCTAATGAAGGGTAAACTGTAAGATGGACTTTTTATGTGGTTACACAAGGTCGATGTATTCGCGCTTCTGGCCAGTTGAGTTCAGTAACAAAGAGTGTTTTCAGCAGACATAAGTACATTTCTTTATCATACTTAGTTTTCGATTACTGAGCTGTCTATGCAAGTCACTGAATCCAACCATATATCATCTTAACAACTGTCTTGTTGCCTAAAACATAGCACCATTTTGAACTAGGCTACCATTTGGCAGGATTAGTTGTAACACGATGTTACAGCTAAGCCTCCAATAGTCCATTTTCTCTATTTTTGCACTTCAAACTTAATTTCAGTTTGAACTGATGTCCTCTACTATATAAATATACTTCATATTTTTAATTTGTCAGCTATCTTATTGGTTTGAATAAATGTATTTGCACATTCAGCTGTCTCAGATGCAGGTGTGCTGGAAAATATCACTTGAGTCTTTGAACGGCTGCACACTGCTCTTGCTCAGCTTCACAATTTATTAGAAAACACCAACGTTTCAGTCCTCCTGGACCTTCGTCAAGAGTAAAACACTCTTGACGAAGGTCCAGGAGGACTGAAATGCTAGTGTTACCTAATAAATTGTCTTGTCTTGTCAATATTCATACAGTGATCCCAGCTTTACTTACGGCAGAGTGGACAGCAGAAAGCAGAACATGGATATCAGCCCTATCACCACGCTGCAGTACTCCCACACATTATCCACACACTCCTCCAGCAGGTAGAGGATCCACGGGGTCCCGTTGACACACACAGGCCGGCCCAGAGCTGGAGCTGTCCAGTTGGAGGCAGACACCTCCACACTCTTCCCGGGGAAGCGCGCTGTGGCCATGGCGGGATGCCGGGCTGTGTCCGCCGGGCTACCTGCCCCTCAGCTGCTGGGTCTCTCCTCCTGCTGCCTCCAGACGGTGAGTGAATGACTGTTTACTCTGGCTACAGCACCCAAAGCTAATGGCAGCAGGTCTGACACACCTACCTACCTCATTAAATAGATGTGTAAAGACTTGTTGTGTCATTTAGTCTGAAAGAGAAAACAAATAAACGAAAATCAAGTACGCAGCATTTGAGAAGTGTCACAGCTGCTTTAATTAGTCCCAAATTAGCAATGGCGGCTGTATTTCTGTTAAACCTCTCATATATGTGACATCTGCTCACTTAGAGCCAATGTTAGCTTAATTTGCATTAGCTTCAGACACTGTCATTGTCACTGCCGAGGCTAATTTGCATAGACCTGAAGGGGAGATGCTAACACACACACACACACACACACACACACACACACACACATGGATGTAATGGAGGTGATGTGAGCAGCTCACCTCACAAAATGGAGTCGGTACAAACTGCAGAGTGTCTGTGAGCCCTCGTAAACTTTCCCCCCATCCTCACGTTTCTATGGGTTCATTACGGATTTGCCCCTAGCTTCATGTTATCCATCGCTGGTGGTCCCCAAGTGAGAGCAGACATCCTGGATGACATGACAACATCCGGTGAGGAGTTTCAAAATAAAACAGTTCCAGACAGTTATTTCTTTTCTAACGAGCATAGTAGTCCAGACAATCTAACTCAAAAATGGTCCCAACCCAGGAGAAATTGCAATGTAATGTTTTATAATTTTTATTGGTTCTAATACCCCCCTGCATTATATATTAAAGTGTACCTTCATGGATTTAGTGGAAGAGAATTTTTTCAAGGTCAAAAGCAAATCAGCATTTTACAGTTACATGGCCTGGGTGAAATAATGTGAATATTGGAGGGTCTACGTACACATATCCAACATATCTGGTGTCGTTTCCTTAGTTTTCGGGGTCAATCTTTTCAATAAAACACCTTTTAAGAGGATATACTGATGTATTATACCTGCATTTGAAGTACTACTACCCAACTACCAGTTTTTTCCACTCACAGTTTGTGCCACACTTCTTCTACAAGTCTACCTGCATCTAAACTGGGTATAGATTATTCTGTATATTTTTCAAATCTGTAATGCCATCATTCGTTGTAAGTTTGAGAGTTATGTAGAGGACTGTAGTGCAAGGGAGGTGAAGGGTTGGGTTGATGTGGAGATACAGTGTGTGTGAGCTGATTCTATTAGCAACTTGTCTACTCTATTCAACTATTCCATTAACATATTTACTCTTATTGTCATCATCTTCTTTTTTTCATTCACTTAAAACAATTCATTATAATTTAAAATATGGAACGCTGTGCTTCATGATGATGTACCAGAAAAAGACATGCTGTACATTGTAGGTGGGATGAGATAGGAAACACATACGGTGCAATAGTGGAAACTTCTGTTTGTTGCGGTTGAAAACGTTATGGGAAATCGGTGGTGATCGTGTTTCATGGGTCTAGTCTGTGGGCCCAGGTCAGAATTTTCACTAATCGGTACCACCTAAGGTGGCAAATTCTAGTTTGGTATTATGAAAAACTCTTTATCTCCAGATGATCTTTAAACATAACAACCCTTCCCAAGTGACAGCTTAGTCACTGATATCAACCTTCAATGGCCCCAACTGATAAACCAAAGAATAGCAAAGCCAAGGCATGTTTTAACTTTGGTCTCATTTAAGGTCTGCATCTTTCTGCCGAGCAGGAATGCTATCTTTTGTCATAGCCTATTCCCAGACATTTTTCAGCTTTACAGCCCAGTTTAAAATGTTTGTTTGAAAAGTTAAAATTACTTTGATGAAGTAATTAAAAAAGCTACTTATGACATTTTTACAGAGTAACCAGGAATTTGTAATCTACTATCTTTAAAAAAGGCCTAACCTTCCCAACAATGGAAGGAATATAATTAGACCTACTTTGTAATTAAAACTGTTTAACTGTTAACTGCAATGTCTCATTAAAAAATAGGCTTATAATGAGAGATTAAAAAGGTAAAAAAATACCCATTACCCTGTGTGGTATTTAGGTACTGCAGTGGCTTTTACATATAGAAAATAAATTCTCATCAGGAGCATTATATTTATGCCTTATGCTAACTTTTTCACAAATTTCTTTTAGTTTAGTCTAATAATTTGGACATTTCAACATGGGTTTTCATTTGCTGATTTGTACCAGCCTTACAGACTCTTCAAGGTGACAAATCCCGTGCTTTTATTTTGAAATCAAAGTGCCTAATCGGCCTACATTACCCTGATGGACCGGAAACTGCACACATGTTTTGTAGCTTCACTTCCGATGGATGATGCCTGGGAAAATACCGAAATACCACCATCTGCCGATCACATGAACCTCACATCAGTGCAGTCGGAAGCCAGGGTAAATAAATCAAAGTGATTCTTACTTTTACCAACTACGCAAACAGCTGTGATGAAAAATTAGCCCATTTCTCTTTTTGTTGGGCATTTTCTCATTAGATTTTTAACCTATAGACTATTATTGTGTTATTTAGTCTATAACAAATCATTACTACAAGTACTACTTCATCTACTACTAATAATTTAAGACACAGCCTACTGTGAATTGTAGGCTGGACTATAAGATAGGTTAATAAATGTAATATGTCCTTTATCTTCTCCCCTCCTCCACATATACATACTTCCTGCCAGCAGACCAGTTATGGTTCTCAAGAAGACATTAAACAGTATGTCTGAGCTGGGAAAAGGGATTAAGGATAATTTACTTTGGTTTGGAATGCAGCCATGAAGTCATTAGGCTTCATCTATCCCTCTCCCTCAATCCCCTCAGTGCTACCATGCTGCCTTTAAAGGCTCCCTGTAAACTCCCACAATGATTAGGCTAGATCATATTTTCAAGTATGGTTGGTGAAAACATGAGCAAGATTGACCCTGCAGAAAAACTGTTTTATTAATTTTATAAGTTATCATAGAAATGCTGCAATAGCAGACGCAGAGTTACAGAAACTGAAAACATGTGAACGATGCTTGGATGAATTTGTTAGAGATAAAATAGGCTATGTGTGAGTTAAATGTTTCACAAAGAACAAATGCCAGATCGAAGCATATCAACTGTGTTACTGATGTATGATGAGCTGTAGGGCTTTCATACAGCCTTAGCCATCCAAAACATTTACTGGGAAATGACTTGATGCTCACTTTTAATCCACTCCATGTTACAGGTTTATTTATCCTAATAAAGACCTCACAAATAAAAGCGCGTGACCTAATTTGCAGTGACGCCTGATCAAATAAGTCATGCTATATTTCCCGAGAGCACTTGAATGCAGCACCCTAACCTGTCCCTCCCTCCATCCACCTGTTGCCCCTGCGCGCTCTCGCCAGCCGCCGCGCGATGGCGCGCTCACCAATGGTGGCTGTCGAGCATGAACACAAGGCTCTGCTCTGTGGGGGAACTTGAAGCTGTGCATGGGTAATTTGTGTTGCTATGTGCCGCTTCGGACCGAGGTCTGGAGGTACTGAACGGAGCTCCGCATCCACTGTCCGCGCGTCCTCGTCCTGCACGGAGCAGGTAAGCTGTCCGACGCTGTAGGTGCAAGGAACTGAATCAGGTTTTTGTTTTTTCTTGTTGCATGGCATTCTGTCTTTAGAGACAGAAACGCGTTGCCGGGGTTGAATGCATGAATGCCACCCACATTCCTTGATGTCGGGAAAGTTGACTGGATGAGGTGAGATCGGTGTGCAGGGCGCCGATGTCTCCTGCTCGGGCATCAAATACATTTTACGCGTCAGAAATAAATGTGATTGCACAGGGGGGCGTGCAGGTGGACTGGAGAGGTGTTGTTGCTATAGGTACTGAATGCATATAGTGTTAAATACTTGTTAATAATTGCATAATGCTGACAGTGTAGCCTATCTGCCCTTAAATAGGCTGCTATACTACAGTGAATATGTAAAGCGTGATACAGCACAGCACTTTGTAGTTGATATATTTAGGTTTTGTATCCTTGACTACTTATTTTACACCTGTTTTACTTCCATGTAGTCTTTCACTCTCTCTCTCTCTCTCTCTCTCTCTCTCTCTCTCTCTGTATGTTTGTGTGTGTGTGTGTGTGTGTGTGTGTGTGTGTGTGTGTGAGAGAGAGTGTTTCGGTGTAAATACAGAGGAATGTGTTCTGAGAGCTTGAAAGGCAAGTTCAGTCGCATTACTCACATTTAGTTTGTGCATTTCTTCTGCTAATGCTCTGTCCAAGTCGAAATCTACTGTTGCTCCACTTGTGTGTGCTTGTGTGTGTGTGTGTGTGTGTGTGTGTGGAGGGGGACTCCTCAAGGTCACAGACTTCTGAGACAGACAGATGTTGATATCCCAGGAAAAGAAGGACAATGTCCTGATTGTTTTCATGCATTATTTCTATAAAAAGTGGATATTAAATTCTCTTTTCACCGACACTGAAAGAAATTAATCATATACATAAAACTGTTGCCTTCTTCATTCATTAATGTTTTCATTCATCTTCCATTTTGGCCAAATCTGTCATGTTCCAGCTGGAGGCTGCCAGTTTGACAGATACACCAACACATGCTTCCCATATTTGTTCACTTGCATCTCTCCAGACTGCAAAAAACAAATATTATTTTATTTTATTGTGTCATTTAAAGCACATATATTCATGTACTTCATCAGGTGATTGCAAGTCTTTGATTGTCACGTGTCTTGGCTTCACAGACGATGTTATCTAGGAATGAGGACTCGCTCAGTTTTTAATGAGAGGATGTGTTTATGTGGAGTCATCTTTGCATTTCCTCATGCTGACAGCATTTAGGTGATTCTCGGCTTCAGAGATAATAAGCTTGTGTTTATTTTTAGGGAAACAACTTCATGCATTAGGACAATGTTTTCCAGGATATGCACCTTGCAAGTGAGAGCTGTAATGCATCATCGGCTGAATCACCTATTCAATCCACTTACTCACTCAGGAAGCAGGAAATCCAAATAATGCCGTGAATGCAAATTATGAAAAGACGTCTAAACTTAGAAACATATTAAACATGTATTCAGGATATTTGAGAGCAGCTCCCTATTAAGAATGAGGTCCTAATATTTTATGCGCTGAATTTATTCCTTTAAGCCCGTACTCCTGGGTCAGACCTGCTAAAACCAGAACATGCTTCTGTTCAGCTCTCAGGGCAGAGCCTGTGAGTTTGGGCTGCTGAAGGCAGCGGGGAGTGATGAATAATGAATGGTTTCGAAAATGTGCGTGTATGTTAGTTGGCTGAGTGTTGCGGTAATGCACTACTCCAGCCGGCACTTCCCCTCTCCACTATGGAAATCCTCTCAGCAGCCGTGAGTCTCACAGCGCAGCGGAGCCAAACTTGAGAGCAAAGAGCGAGCGGGGGGAGTTCTTTTAGCCTGTAACACTTTTGGTTGGATTCAGTGCCATTTGACATAGTCATGCCAACAGAGACACACACACTCGCATCCACAAACACAGTGAAGCCAGTTCAAATCAGCCTTCTGAAGATGGGGGTTCTTTTTGTTATGATATTTTCTCTCCCTGTCTGAGACTCAAATTAGTTTCACCTTGGAATCCAGCACGGTGGGTCCCAAAAGATATTTCTGTGAGACCAATCTGGGTTGAAGCTGAAAGTTTATGAAGAAATCCTCTCAGATTGTAGCATCAGTAATAGCAGCACTTTGTGATGGAGCTGGGACAGCACATTGATTGGTCCATCGACAGGATAAAAGGCTGCACATGCACACTGAACTGCTGTTAACTTGGTATTCATATCATATCTGCTCCTTCTGCAGCAGGCAGTGTGACATCCTTAAGTGTCACATTAAGTGTTCCTGTGGTGTGGCTCTGCTTTCGCTTATCAGGCTCACAGTGACCGCTCTGAAGAGTGAAAGTGAGATATGTGCTCCCCTCATACTCAGTCTCTGTTTCCTCTCTCTGTCTCTCCATTTCTCCCATTCTGTCTTCCTTTATCTTTCAGAGACTTCAGTGTGTTTTTACAGTAGCTATTTTCGCCGGCTCCTGTCATACTGTAATTCCCAATCGTTGCTCCACAGCTGCATAACTGCAGGGCATAAATAATGGAGAACTTTCCCTTTGTCCCACACACACACACCCGCACATACAATACAGTACACTCATTCATTATGTTAATATGCTGAACCTCGGGGGTCTGTCGTTCAAGAAGTCTTAACTGAGTTCTCTGCGGCAGTGTGGACCTATTTCCAGAGAGAAGTCCTCAGGGAATCTCTTCTTTGTGACTTTTATTCATCTTACTTATTCATGATATTCATGGCATCGGTTACATAACTGATTGGCCCAGTTATAGGGAATGACTACCAACCAGCCTTTAATCATGGCGTTAGTATGGACAATGTATTTCTGCTCAGGATGTGACAGGAAGATGTGACAGGAGATACAGTATGGCTGTTCAGTGTGGTGATGTAGGATTAGTTGTGTCAACGCAGGTACTAATTTTGGGATGCTCAGCAGGTTGTTTTAATGAGTGCAGATGTGGTTCAGATAAGTGTTGTCGGGATACTGGATTTTCTATCCTCAATACAGTACCTTAAAAAATATCAATATTCCATACCGTTTTCAATACCATGGGAAAAATTGACTGTAATTTAACATTTTTGTTGAAAGACAACAGCTTTTCTTGGTTAGTTGAGCACAGCAGAATGACTGGTGTATCCACATAACCGGTTGACTCTAGTGATGTCTGCGCTGTGTTGATATGAAGAGGCCCAGACCGTGGATATCTTTGGAGGCAATCTCCGTTTATTCCCAACACCTCCGACAGCAAGAGGTAAAAACAAAATCCTCTGTCAATTACGACCATATAACTCGAGCCCCTCACCCATGGAGCACAACAGCAAAAGGGCGGCCATGTTACATTCAATTCAGTGCAATGAAACACAGAAAACATACGTGACAGCAAGCAATCCTCTGTCAATTACGATCATTTAAACTCGAGTCCCTACAAATTAAGTGAAACAGGAATATGTTCGCATATTTTACAATAAATTCAGGCTTAAAAATGAAATTCTAGACATAGCTTAACAGCGCTAAGACACGGAAATGACCATGACAGCAATGTTGCTTACCTCTCCCATGGAGTACAACAGCAAAAGGGGAGAGGTAAGGAGTGAGACACCCCTTTATAGGTTGGGTACCCCCAGAGGTGAATGTAGGGGTACAGAAACTGAGTATCAAGAGTTCCACATATTGACTCTGGAGGCCTAAGCGTGTCAGGTAATAACTCCTGAAACAAATGTTGTGTAATTATAATACTTAATATTGGAAATGTACATTTGACTTTGTTACACATATTACTGCTGTATAACTGACCCTGTGACATCCAGAACGTGGAAAACGAGCAACACCAGTTTGGATGCACTCAAACCACCAGATAGTTGATCAGATTAGAAATGATTAATGTGAAGATCTGCAGTTTTCCCCTGCTTTTATATCACTGCAAACTGAATATATTTGGGGTTTTGACTTTTGGGTGAACAAAACAAAATCTGACTTTGAGCTTAAGGAATTTGTGACAGGCAAGTTTCACCATCTTCTGACATTTTATAGCCCAAACAGTTCATTGATTAACTGAAAAAATAACTGGTGTGTTAATCCATCCATCCATCCATTTTCCAGGGTTTCTAACCCGCTTATCCTCTTGAGGGTCGTGGTAGCCTATCCCAGCTGATGTTGGGCAAGAGGCAGGGTACACCCTGGACAGGTCACCAGACTATCACAGGGCTGACACATAGAGACAGACAACCATTCACACTCACATTCACACCTACGGTCAATTTAGAGTCATCAGTTAACCTGCATGTCTTTGGACTGTGGGAGGAAGCTGGAGTACCTGGAGAAAACCCACGCTGACACGGGGAGAACATGCAAACTCCAGGAATGCTCTTGCTGTGAGGCGACAGTGCTAACCACCACACCACCATGCCGCCGGTGTGTTAATTGATAGTGGAAATAATCATCGGATCAAATGAGCTTGTACATGTTTGTATCTCACTGTGGCTATTTAAGGAGCAAGTTATTCTTTGGAGCACTTGTGTACTCTTAATGGAGAAGCTCCGAATTTCCCTCCAACTTTCCCAACACCCAGCAACAAGTGCCATAAATGTTTGACTTTTGCTCTGCACTCCAGCATGTGGTTTTGCGTCTATTATTCTAACTAAGACCTATTATTGTAGTGCCATTTTAAAACACATGCTTCTTGTTTGCATATTGTCAGAAATGCCCAAAACAATAAGTTAATATGCCCTCTTTCGAGTAGAGTTAAGCTGACAAAATAGCACCGCACATACAGTGCCAGACCCTGTAGCCTTAATTAGAGCAAACAGCAATGAGTGAAACTCCAGAGGATGTCTTGGCAAAATGACGGCCAGTTGGAAATCCTAATCTTTGTCTTAATGGTGTGAGGTAAGGAGCTTCAAATAGTCCTTTAAAAAAGCAGCTTTCCAGCAGGGTTGAAAGCTGCCCACACACACACACACACACACTCTCAGATCCTCATAATAATTATGTGCATAAATAA